TAATACCCGACTTTTAATTTAATTATTATTATATATTAATTCGAGCTCGCTGTCTTGTCTTAAAATTCCGTCCTACCAAGACCAACCTAAATATCCTAAAAAAGAAGACCACTTTACACAGTGATATCTTCCTTTAAGACCCTACATATCCCATCCCCACTACTCCACTAATTCTATCAAACTAGAAACAGAAAGTGTATATATCATTGGGCAAAATGGAAAAGATTAAGCATTTCTGAATTAGAAAGATATGACTCAAGAAAGACTTGCCAACACACTAGACATGTGTCATTGCTACAAACCATTAAATTAATTCTTGGTGCAAAATCCAAATATAGTCATGGCTGTATATACGCACAAAAAATATTTTGGATACGTTTAAAATGGTTTGAACAATAGTTATGTCATCTCTTACGTCAATCTAGCAGGTATATGCCACAAAAATCTTAATGGGATGCATTTTACATCATACAATGGCTGCAGATATTGTCTATTACTTACCCACTCAAAAGAGGATAAACCAAAAAACAAAAAAGAGAAACAACTCAATAGAAACATATTTTGGATTTAAACGTAATGAGCTTCATCTCTAAAAATTTTAGTAGTGAATTTTTTATATTCTTAAAATTATAAATTCAGATCGAATATTTGCTAAAATATTCATAGATTTTCACAAAAAAGTTATACTTCGTATCGAAAATATTATTGAGTTCCAGTGAACCTATTATTCACGAGTTTGGTCGAACCTGTATTAAAATATTCAATAAATATGTACAAATATTAAATTTAGAATTCGATTATATATATTTAAAGTCGTGATTCTAAAATCCAAAACACATACAGTTTAAATCCTGACTCTGCAGACATGAGGCGGATGCAATGTGGTAGTTACGAGTTCAATTAAACCCATTACTTTCGATACGGAGTAGAAATTTATGTGTAAAAATTCATTAAAATTGCAAAATAATAGATTTGAACCTATAACCTTAAAAATATAATGGTTTATATTAAAAATCTTACAAGTTAAATCCATAGAGTTTAAATCATGGATACGTCTATGCATGCAGAGGCGTGTCTAGTGTAGAAGCTATGAGTTCAGCTAAACCCATAATTTTCGCTCATACCCTGTATTTTTGCCCAAAAAATTATTAAATATGTTCAAATAATAAATTTTGAATCCATTAAATTAGATGAGATATAATAGAATTACGAATCTGAACCCATATAATTTAAATTCTGAATCTGCCTCTCGCTACTTGTGCCCCGAGGAAAAAGAGGCTGAAATACGAATAATGCCACTCTTGATCCTTGGCAGAAATTCACATGTTTGAACACTTCGAATCCTTATCTAGATTTCAAGCATTATCATGAAACTATTTGAAATGATCTACATATAATGATATACTGTTTAAGTTGGTCTTGAATTTCTTTTTTTGTGAGAGTTTTAGTGCTCAAAAAGTGAACATTCAAATATGTTGTCTTTGTCATCATCCTAAGATTAAATCATAATTTCATAGTTGGTAATTGGCTTTCATGCATGCTTTGGTAATAGTCTTTTTTCTCTTATATCCTTCTAGAATATTAAACAATGAATAAGACTCCGATTTGATCATAGTTGTAAAACACTAAACAAAACTATTGATTTGGATGATAACTAGTAATCACAAGTGGGTTTTAATTCAAAGTTTATTCTGATAAATTAATTTGGATACTTTGTTTTATTTTAGAAAAATCAGACATTTGACCTAATTTTTCTCAAATATGCTAGAATTTTAGTTACTGCCTTTGATATACTTTCTATATTTTAAAATCATTTGCACAAGGAAGAGAGAGAGAGAGTCAATGCTCTCTTAATGTCCTAATTAATCTTATCCTGTTTCATAATGATTGTTTTGACGACGATTTTTGGATAATTGCACTAATTAGCTTCTTTTACTTCAGCAAAAAGAAGTTTGTTGAAGTCATAACAATTTTTCCCTATGTTTTTTTTCTCCCTTTCGGCTTCTACTATTTTTCTTCTATTTTGTCGTACGATGCTCTCGTACCAAACAAGTATTGATCACGGTAAAAAGTAAAAGTAAGTTGAGTGAGCTTCATAATTCTGTAAAAAGATTATTTACTAGGGCAATGCAGTGCACAAAGTATTTCGCGTTCATGCAAGTCTGGAGTAGGACCGCAACCCTAAAGGGTTTGATATAGACAACCTATCTTAATGCAAGCATCAGTGGCTGATTTCACAGCTCAAACCCGTAACCTATAGATATCACGGATACAACTTGACCGTTCTTCCAAGGCTCCCCTTCGTAAAAAAAAATCATTTACAAAGAAGAAGAAACAATCTTTTGGCAAGTCCTAGAAAAAATTCGTAGGAAAAAATGCATACTTCTAATAGTGTGTAAAGAACACTTAAGAAAAATGACGAGAGAAGATTTAGACCACTAACTTCTATTTGCGCATGGTTAATTGAATGTGATTTTTTGTTTTAGTTTTGCTCTTTTTTGCTCATTGTTGATCTCCTTACTGTCTTGTAGTTTTTATTCTGTTTTTATATAGTTTTTTGGTATTGTCTTTTCTTCCCTATATTTTCATTAATCTGGTGCTTATGCTATCCTGAGCCGAGGGTCTATTGGACCTCTCCAGTGGCGGAGCCAGAATTATCCTTAAGGGGAATCAAAATATAAATAAGTAAGCATATGAAAAAGTTAAGGGGAGTCAACACATTATATATATACATAAAAATAAAATATTTAACCTATCTATGCGGTATAATTTCCCGACGAAGGAGTGTCAATTGACTCCCCTTGCCAATGAGTGGCTCCGCCATTGAGCCTCTCTATCCTTACAAGGTAAGGGTAAAGTCTACGCACACACTACTTCCCCAGACCTTACGGTGTGGAGTAATACTGAGTATATTGTTGTTGCGGTAGTTTTGCTCTTTTTTGCCACCCGTGATAGTGATATTGGAAAAATAACAAAACATAAGAGAAACAATAAGAAAGAGAAAATAGTAATAGTACAAAAAAATTTGTGGGAAAGCTGTGGCGTGAGATAAAATGGTAAAAACCAGAGCAAGTGGAGAGAAGCATACATATCTGTCTTGACTTTGTTTGTCACATTCGAATCCACTATGATTCTCCTCTCCTAGGCTTCATTTATTATTTCCTTTTTCTTTTTAATCATCGGATATCCGAAACATACTTATCCGATTAATTATTATTATTTCTTCGTATTTAACCGTTCCGTGTTCAGAACATATTAATTCGATTAATTCAGATTCGAATTGCATAGAGTTCGATAAGCGTAAATACTCCCTAGCTATCAAAAAAAAATTCATTCTAATATTATAATACGAGACCTTTGATTAAGGGTGAAAGAATTTCACCTATGGTATCATTAAATATATTTGCTTTAAAATTTCATTTCCCATGTTTCTTTTCTTTTTCGCTTATTCTTCCAAATAATTTAAGTTCTTGTACTAGCAGTATATTATTTTTTTCACACCATTATATTAAGATGAACTATAGAAAAATGGATCTTTTTAAAATATAAGCGTAGTTTGATGATATAAATTATAACATAAGTAATCTGCTATAACAAGTTATAATATATTATTGATGATGCATGTAAAAGTTACTTATATATTATAAATTGATAATAATAATATAAAAGCTGGCACTTAACATCTGTCCTGCTAATTACCTTCCCCCAATAATACAAACTAGAAAATGTGAAGTAAAAAGAGTAATTAACTTGTACATGTATGTCCATATCGCAATTGCACAACTAGCTAGACGAACACAAATTTTTACGTCACGAGGTTTTAAAATCAACAAATATGATCTTGCATGCCCAATTGGTCAAATTTTATGATTGGATGTATAATCAACACGAAATTAACTGCTTCATCTGTTTTATTTTTATGACATTTCCCCTTTTTAATTTGCTTAAAAAAGATACTCTGTTATTTGGAAACCTTTTAAATATTAAACTTTTATTTTATTCTTATTGACATAATATTAGCGATCATATAATCATAGAAATATCATTATATATTTAAGACCACATGTTCAAAGAGTACTCTTTTTGTATATGCAAAAGTCGTTTTGCTAAGTGTGCAAAAAGTCTTTCATTATAAATTGATAAGGAAAAGAAGCTACATATAAGGTATAGTAATACTCTTAATGATGTGAGACCGTTTGAGAAAATCGTGGGGGCTTGGTTCAAAGAGGACCGTATCACACCATGTAAAGAGTGTGGTTCGGTTGACTTAGTCCAACAATTGATATCAAAGCCAATAGTTCGGCGAGATGAGTATGAAAATGGTGCCATGGCATTGTGGTGACATGAGGCCTGGCTTAACGCCCATGCCCATCAACTGGTCGATTTAGTATCGTCATCCATAGCTTAGCTTGGAAATACATACGCGCGTGCACACATATAAAAAAAAAAGCATGTGGGCTCGAGTGGTCATAAATACTTGAATTATATAGGTGGCACGCAGTGAATTTCCAAATATGCCCAAGGATCAAGGTGATAAGTGACGTGAAATTCTTACTTCAAGGGGAAGATTGTTTGAAAGCGAATAAAATCTCACATTGAAAGTTGCTTAGAAAAAGAAGCTGTATATAAGGTGTAGTGATACTCTTAATGGTGATACTCTTAACAGTGTCGGGCCTTTTGAAAAAATCGTACGAGATCGGCCCAAAGCAAACATAATGTTAAGATTATCTTTGTGCTGGCTAATTAGCTCAACACTTCGTTCCTCTTTAAATTCTGTATCCACTCAAACACCGCTATATAAAATGAAATAAAACGAAATGCTTTATTTAAATAAAAAACACATCATAAGTCATCATCATAAGTATTTAAATTTTTAATTTCAAGATACAGGTTTAGGTCATAATGGTATTTTTGAAACTGAACAAACGATATGGTGACATAAAATATACCTACATACCTAGCTTAAGCTCTATCATATCCTATAAATAGTGGAGTCTAGAAGTCATTTAGAGCACAACACATAAACTAACAAAAATGGAAGTAATGAAGAAGAAAGAAAACACCTCTAGAAAAATGAAGGGTGGAATGATCACTATGCCCTTCATCTTTGGTTAGTTCCCTTTTATTTTTCCAAATAATATTCATATTTTCTTCATGAAGTTTTGAATCTTGAAACTTACCTTTTGCATATTTTCTTGAATACTAAGGTGAAACTTATGTATGTGGTAATACTTTTTTTTTGGTGTGCAGCAAATGAGATATGTGAAAAGTTGGCAGTGGTGGGATTTGGTGCAAATATGATAATATATTTGACAAATGAGCTCCATCTTCCATTGACAAAAGCAGCTAATACTCTTACAAACTTTGGTGGCACTGCAAGTTTGACTCCATTGCTTGGAGCTTTCATTGCTGATACTTTTGCAGGAAGGTTTTGGACCATAACAATTGCTTCTATCATCTACCAAATGGTAAGACTCATTCTCTTTCGAGTTTAACTTATATACACTGACAGTTGCTTCATAACCGACAACTTTTCGTCAGTTTTATCCCTCGGTAAAACGGGTGTTTTTAGTAGTGTTAAAAGATAATTAACGGTAAATCAATACATTCATAATAAGTGGATTAGTAACCTGGAAAAAATAATAGGTTACATGCTATAACATATTATACTGCAGTGGTAGTAATTCTTTTTAACGTTATTATAGTTGATATGCTAGCTCACTACAGAAAAAACTAGAATTACTTACAAACTTCGCTGCTAATATGTTGTTAAATCGCTCGTAGCTAACAGAATTTTTTGATAATATAGCGCTAATCCGTCACTAATTAAGTTTCGCAATGAATTTTTCTGTTTAACTATAGAATTTATCCGTCACTAATTTCTGTTTTTTTAGTAGTTCTGTTTGATGCTTCCTAGACATGTATTCAGCAAAACTTAAATTTGGGTGAAGAAGGGTTATAGACATATATACTTCCTTCTCCATGAAACATTTATTAAATGGCTGATATTCTTTGATAAGGCTGCAGAGGATAAGATATATAAGGTGAAAATAACTTTTGATAGGCAAAACCTTTAGTTTGGGATTTGAATAAAAAACAATGAATATATTATAACTATGATTATCCATGTCTTATAAAACCCAAATTAATATAGGATTTAACTTATATATACGGATAATGTAATATTTTTATAATATTAGTTTATTTTTATCTATTGTAATAAATAACTTGTCTTATTTTTCAAGTTACTAATCTACTTTTTATGGATGATTACATGTAGTTACTATGATTTAAATAACCTGATCGCATAAAAGTTCGTTTACACTGCCACTGTATAGAAGTTACAGTATTCATTAATAGAACATTCATTAATAGAAGGGAAGCCTTGGCGTAACTGGTAAAGTTGTTGATATGTGACCAGGAGGTCACTGGTTCGAGCCATGGAAGCCGCCTCTTGCAGAACTGCAGGGTAAGGTTGCGTACGATAGACCCTTGTGGTCTGACCCTTCCCCGAACCCCGCGCATAGCGGCAGCTTAATGCACCGGCTGCCCTTTAACATGTACCTTGAGTTTTCCTATTTCAATTTCTTGATATTTTCTTGACTTTTTTTAACGTTTTTGATTGATTTTTATATTCCTTTGATTAAATTTCAGGGTATGATCATTTTAACATTATCAGCAATACTTCCACAACTAAGGCCACCTACTTGTAAAAGTGATGAAATATGCAAAGAAGCAAATTCTGGTCAATTAGCCATTCTCTATATATCATTACTCTTAACAGCATTTGGTTCAGGAGGAATTAGGCCATGTGTTGTAGCATTTGGAGCAGAACAATTTGATGAAACCAATCCAAATCAAAAAACACAAACATGGAAATTCTTCAATTGGTATTATTTTTGTATGGGATTTTCCATGCTAATAGCTGTGACAGTAATTGTTTATATCCAAGATAATATTGGATGGGGTATAGGATTTGGTATTCCAACAATTGCTATGCTTATTTCAATTATTGTCTTCATATTTGGATACCCTTTATATAGAAATTTGGATCCTGCTGGTAGTCCTTTTACTAGGCTATTACAAGTTTGTGTTGCTGCCTACAAGAAAAGAAAATTGGACATGGTTTCTGATCCTAATTTCTTGTACCAAAATGAAGAACTTGATGCTGATATTTCTACTGCTGGCAAGCTTGTTCACACTAAGCAAATGAAGTAAGTCATTTTTTCATTTCGAGTTTAAGTTCTGTGCACTAACTGTTACGCCTATATGTTTTTTTAAAACCATTAGGTAAAATTGGCTTTAAAAAATAGGTATTTCTTCATATTCTAGCCTTATAATAGTAGCCGGAAACATAGAGAGGATACCTACTATAGTAAAATTTTACTTATTGTAATAATCATTTACGCTGTCAAGATCCTTTGTGTTTTTGACTTTAACTTTTTTTAAGCTGGTAGTGTACATCTAAACAATAACAACATATAGATGTTCATAATAAGTGGAAATAGTTAACTAGAGATAAAACATGTAACCGACATGTTAACAACAACAATCGAGTAAAATCCCACAGGTGAGGGGTCTGGGAGGGTAGTGTGTACGCAGACCTTAACCCTATCCGATGGAGTAGAAATGTTGTTTTCGAAAGACCCTCGGCTCAAGAAGACAAAAAAAGGTGAAAAGAGACAATATATCAGTACCATCAAGAAAAACCATAAAAAATAATAATAGCATCATAAGAACCGAAAAATAGATGAAATGTAATAACAATAACCAGTAAATAAGGTCCGGTGCTGTAACCTACATGTTAGTTTTCCCTAGAATGCATTACATGTTAGTTTGCACCAATATGCTTCTTTTAGCTTGCAGAAAATAATTGAATTGATTCATACAAGTACACATAATGTGAGGTGAAAACTCAGTGATTGGCTAACTTCCTTTAAAATCTAGCAAAAAATTTATATTTATCTCAAGAATCCAATTAACCAATAACTGGAGATGATACAAAATGTCCCTTCCTGTAATATGAAGAACACTTAGTGGAAAGACCACAGCCATGACATGGACAGGATAAACCAAATACCTGGCTATTATATTTTATCAATCATCAATCAATTTAACAAAGAAGAGGCTCGGAGTAACGGTAAAGTCGTCTCCGTGTAACTTATAAGTTACGGGTTCAATTCGTGGAACTGGCCATTAATGCTTGCATTAGGGTAGGTTGTCTGCATCACACCCCTTGAGGTGCGGCCCTTCCCCGGACTCTACATGAACACTGACAACCTGATGCTTGCATTAGGGTACGCTGTCTGCATCACTTCCCTTAGGGTGCGATCCTTTCCTGGACTCTGCGTGAACGCGGAATGCCTTGTGCGTGGGTTGTCCATATCAATCAATTTAATGTGTGGCCAAAAACATTATGTGAAGCATTGCACGTTTATGTTTCTGAATTATTCATAATAATTTCTGTTTGTCTGTCCTGTTGTCCTTTTATTTCAAGATTCATTGAATTTTTCTTTCCCAATTTCCTTTTTAGTTTAAATTTCATTTCTTGGCTTGACAATAATGCTCTGCAAGATCAGTCCTGAGGCTAATAGAAACCAGAAAACATGTTGATAAATACTGCCAAATTCTTTTTTTGGAAGTGTACTATCAAATTTCTCAATTTGTCTCCAATAATATCTAGGTGGTCACAGATTGTTATTAATCTATTAGAAATTTGATGAAACTGGAACAGAAACCATTGAATTGGTTCTGGTTTTCAATTCATGTGAGTAATGACTATTTTGGCTGTAAAAAGGTACAGATCCAAGTTTAGTAAGTTAAAATATACTCCTTCCGTTTTAATTTAGATGATATAGTTTGACTCGGCACGGAGTTTAAGAGAAAAGAAGAAGATATTTGAAACTTGTGGTCTTAAAATTTTAAGGGTTAAAAGCTTTGTGTGGCGGGAGTCTTGGAGCAACAGTAAAGTTGTTTTCGTGTGATCTATTGGTCGGGGGTTCGAGCTGTGGAAGCAGCCACTAATGCTTGCATTAGGTTAGGCTGTCTACATCACACCTCTTTGGATGCGGCCCTTCCTGAACCCTACGTGAACACAGAACCTTGTGCACCGGAATACCGGATTGCCCTTGTTATTTTTATTTTGGCGTAGACTTGATCAAGAAAGACAACATGCTAATGCCTGAATATATGTCAAGAACCAATATTAGCAATTGATCAATATTCATTGGACTATTTGGAAAGGGACATTCTCACATGCATGCATTATTATTATGAGCGTTTGAATTTTATGACTATCTCATCTGAAAGTTTAAGTTGTTAGCTAATCATATTCTGTCTCGATTTCAGATTCTTGGACAGGGCAGCAATTGTGACAGAGGAAGACAATCCAAAATCTCCGAATCTATGGAGATTAAACACAGTTCATCGCGTAGAAGAGCTAAAATCAGTGATCCGAATGGGACCAATATGGGCATCAGGAATTATTCTAATCACAGCATATGCTCAACAACACACATTCTCAGTACAACAGGCAAAAACAATGGACAGACACTTAATAAAATCCTTCGAAATCCCAGCTGCATCAATGACAGTCTTCACATTAACAACAATGTTATGCACCATTTGCTTCTATGACCGCGTTTTTGTGCCTATAGCGCGTAAATTCACTGGTCTAGAACGAGGCATATCGTTCCTTAGCAGGATGGCTATCGGCTTCTTTATTTCAGTTCTAGCCACATTAGTAGCCGGATTTATTGAAGTTAAACGAAAAGAAGCAGCGTTAACTCATGGACTTATCGATCAAGGTAAAGCGATAGTTCCCATTTCAGTATTTTGGCTTGTGCCTCAGTATTGCTTACATGGTGTAGCTGAGGCATTTATGTCAATTGGACATCTTGAATTTTTCTATGATCAAGCACCAGAGAGTATGAGAAGTACAGCTACTGCATTATTTTGGACATCAATTTCAGCTGGGAATTATTTGAGTACACTTTTGGTTTCATTAGTGCATAAATTTACTTCAGGTGGTGGAGGATCAAATTGGTTACCTGATAATAATTTGAATAAGGGAAAATTAGAGTATTTTTATTGGTTAATCACAATTCTACAAGTGATTAACTTGATGTACTATCTGTTTTGTGCAAAATTCTATACTTTTAAACCTATTCAGGTACAGAAGACAGAAGATTTGGACTCTAAAAAAGATAGTATTGAACTTGTACACAATGTTTAGTTTGTATTAGTATTCTTGATTTAGAAGGTTTTTGTAACTTTGGCCTATGGTTATGTCCTATTATGTAGTAATAATTTTAGGTTAGTAGGAAAGAAATTAATGGTATTTATAGTTGTAGTAGGTAAAGGAGAAAGTTTTTGAGAAATAGTTTTAATTGTATTGCTCCATATTAAGTATCAAGCAATAGATTCTGGTTTTATACTTTTTGCAGTTTACACTTTTGGAAAATGTATATTATTCTGCTACTAAGTGAATGAGGGGTTCAGAGTAGGAGGTCAAATTTCTTAATTGTTTGATTCGGCAGTGTTTTCACATATATTTTTATTACTAAATCATAATTAATTTTTACTCGTTTTCACCTCAACTTATCATTTAAACCTGGAAGAAATTCAAAAATAGCCAGATTTATAACTGGTCGTTCAAAAATAGCCCAGTTTCAAAAGTAATCGAAATTTAGCCAATTTTCATGTAAAGATAAATCTGAGCGAAAACACTGTTCAAAAACCCAGAAAAATACGCCAGTATATTATGCTGGAGTTCCAGCATAAGTATACTTGAACTCCAGCATATTATACTGGAGTTCCAAGATAAGTATGCTGGAACTCCAGCATAATATGATGGAGTTCCAGCATAAGTAAACCAGAACTCTAGGATAATATACTGGAGTTACAGCAAGTATCCCGGTCCAGCATAATATCTGGAGTTTGGAGCACCGGTGCTCCAGTCTCCAGTATATTATACTGGAGCCAGCAAAGTGTATGAACTCCAGCATAATATGCTGGAGTTCATACACAGGTGCACCGAACTCCAGTATATTATGCTGGACCGGTCTCTGCTGCAGCAAAATAGTGACTATTTTTCATTGACTTGGTAAACGCTGGCTATTTTTGAATGACCAGTCCGAAAACTGGCTATACCGTGCTATTTTGACTTTAAACCTTCATCATATAGTATTGATGATGGCCCGGTTATTATCCAAGTGGCAGCGGCCTGTTGCTCCTCTTGTTTTTCATAGTAGGGCTATTTCTTTCACAAATTTTTTGTGGGAATACTCCACTGTATAGCCATTTATAAAAATAATAATCCAAAAATATTTTTTTTATTTATATAAATATGATATACACATTTTATACCTAACTAGTGTATATTTTTTTTATATATTTGACTAGCATATGCAATTATATTTGACTGACCGGTCAAATATGTAACTTTCCATTTTTATTTGGGCCCTGAATTCTGGCTGGATCATGTTCATCCTCGAAACGGACAACAATTACACTACTGGCCCATTTACATGCATTTTGGTATGGAATTTTTACATTCCTATGCCATATAGGAAACTATATTACCCTCAATGTTTAAAGTTTGATATAATTACATTTAGTATATCTAATTATCATTTATATACCATTAGTGGTTTTTAAGGGTATTAATTACACTCCTAATTTAATGGTACCGTATATTCTTTCTAATACCACTCCCCCCACATTTCTCTCTCTAATTCCCACACCTTCACCCACGTTTCCCTCCCACACCCATGATTTCTGTATCAAAATTCCATTATTTCTTCCATAGCCAAGGCACTGTCGGGACCTCTGCAATCTTGTCCCAATGTTTTTGTGCACGGGGAAGATGAGCACAAGCCTGGTCGATTTGATGGTTATGATTTCGGGTTCCTTCAGTAATATAAGAGGAAAGGAAAAGAGAGCAGCAATTCCACCATTAACAGCCATTAAAAAGCTTTGAATTTAAATTTGGGTTTTCAAAAATCATTATTTGTTTGGATTGGGTGTTGTTGTAAATAATTGAGAATATGGTTTGGAGTTTATATCTCAATTTTGAGGGGTTTTGGTGAAGATTAGACTTGGTTTTGGTTGAATTTCAGATTGAAACTCGAAGAAGAAGAAGAAGACATGACATACATTATATTGCAGCAATTGTAGATAAATTGTAGAAAAATTGTAGATTGTTGTTTATTTATTTTTGAGCTTTTGTGTTTTTGTGTTAAAAGTTTTGATGGGAGCTTGTTATTCCACTTCGTCTGTTTTGGAGCTAACTTGTGCAGAGGAGAAGATGTTTTTTAAGTTATATATATTG